GTTCACGAATCCCCAAGCTTGTACTTTAAAGACCAAACCTTAGGTGCAAGGCAAAGCTGTACATAAAACAGGAGGAGAGAGAACAAACTCTCTAGGGCACTGCATCTGTACCAGGTTGTATAAGAGCAGCACAAGGAGGTGTGACATCCTCGAGTCCCCAGGGAGAGCAATGGGGTAACCAGGTCTGTTCCCATCAATTCAGGAGAGACTTCTGGTGGGGACAAACAAGGAGATGAGACACCTTTGCCATCCCCTCCTTACTGGCAGGCAGGAAAAACTCCCTAGCTTCGAGCTGGGAAGCAAACCCAGCTGAAAATCCTAGTGAGTGTTCCTACAGCTTCACCACTTGGAAGCATTCGGTACACAGATGGTAATTGCCTCCTGAAATAGTACTGAAGACCTCTGTGCTGTCAGGTGGCTTTTTCTGGGAGCTACACGAGGTGTCGCAGCTCAGAGCATCCTTTTATACCTCCTGATCATGCACTGAATCCTTATCCAGTGTCCCCAGGCAACCGGTGAGGCCAGCAGCTTTCCTGGAGGGGCACAGAGAGTGTTGATGTGATTCAGACTGATTGCTCTGCTCAGTGCCATGTTCATTGCATGGAGGCTGAATGCCCCTCGGGTTATTTCAGCAGTGGTAAGTTACATAACATGATGGCCTATGCTAAATGGAAAAGCAGTTCCTCATTTCTCACTATACAGCAGCTCCAAGTAGAAGAAATTATTAGTGCTCAGCAGTTCACTGGGACAAACGTTCCTCTGCAGAAGTCAACAACCTTATACAGATAGCATGAATTAATGCTGGATCTGCCCAGGGCAGATGTATTGCATGCATGTATTGCAATGCATGATTCTTTAATAAAAGTCCAAGCTGAATATCTGAAAATGTAACTGTACAGCAAGGAAGTCACCATCATCATCACCATCATTCAAGGAAACAGCGCTGTACCACAGGAGGTACCCATGATCGAAGGCAGATGCTCTTCCCTGTGAGGGTGCTGAGGCGCTGGCACAGGGTGCCCAGAGAAGCTGTGGCTGCCCCATCCCTGGCAGTGTTCAAGGCCAGGTTGGACACAGGGGCTTGGAGCAACCTGGTCTGGTGTGAGGTGTCCCTGCCTGTGGCAGGGATTGGAACTGGATGGGCTTTAAGGTCCTTTCCAACCCAAACCAGTCTGGGATTCTCTGATTTTCATCAGTCAAGTTTCCAAAAGCTTTGTCCATGAGACAGGCTCACCAGTGCTGTGTGGAATGGCAGAGAGAAGAAAACCCAGTGGACAACAAGATCTCCCCAATAAACTTAGAAATGCTCCCAGACTTTTCCCTTTATTCCCCAGTTACTTTGCCATAGTAAGAATAATAACCGAAATTTCTTTGTCATCTGAGACAGAAAGCTATTATTGCTACTCATCACCACTGAGCAAATAAAAGGATGAATAATTTATACAATTAATGCAGTCTTTTCTCCCATTTATACAATAGTTGATGGAGGATCACACTTTTCTTTTCGATGCATTCCTTAGTTAAGTTTTTTTGATACATCTTGCATCTTAATGATCCTACCGCTCTGTAGATTGAATGTTCATTTTAAGTAATCACTCACCTTCCTTAATATGCACGTTGTTTTCTAGTGGCTGCTCAAATAAATCAAGTGATGTCATTTTTATTCCCTGACTAAATAAATCTGCAGTCACTGCTAATGCAAACATCCATAAACATGAAGGAAATGCTTATTTTTTAAAGAGGCAGAAATACAAACTTTGAAAATACTCTTCTGGGTTTAATTTGAATGTGGAAACCACGATTTCCCCCATACCTGCAAGCAAATGAATGCAAAAGGTGTGACAGCACATCTGGAGTGGATGTATGTAAAATTCAAATGGATATTGGCTTAGGGCTTGTCTGTTTGTACGTGTTTTTCCAGTCCTTCAAGTGCAGCTGATGCACACAGCATCAGACTGCTGTACAAAAGGCATTATTCCCTCCGAATTCTGGCATCTCCCTTTCTGTAACGCATTCCCAGCAGATAAACAGCATCCTTTTTGTCCTGCTGACAGGCATTTAAGAGCTTCTTTAGCCAGTTAGCAGCAGTAAAGAGAAATAAAAAGGGCTTCCTTGATGCAGTGTGGCCAGACCACAAGACCTACCTTCCTAAGGTCTCTGCTGCCTTCCAGAGACAGCAGCTTTTTAGTGTTACATCATCCCTCAGTAAATTCCCTGCTCATTGTGGTCTAAAGCTCCTGGGAATGTCATAGCAGCAACACTGCCTTGAAACCGAATGTTTAGGGCTTCCTAAAAGCTGAAGCATAATTATTGCCATCAACCACCATGAGAATTTCAAGGGTGATGATAAACCAGTTAGGGGCTTGCTGATCTTGAAATCATTAAGATGCTTTAAAAAAACACCCCCAAGCACCCCCATATAATACAATAATCATAGAATCGTGGAACGGTTTGGGTTGGAAAGGCCCTTAAATCTCATCCAGTTCTACAGGTAGGGACACCTTCCACTAGACCAGGTTGCTCCAAGTCCCATCCAACCCAGCCTTGGGCACTGCCAGCCGTAATAATACAACCAATATAGTATAACCCCCAAACTACCCCATCAAATCCTTATTTTGGTGTGAAATGTACTGTGGATGAGGAAAGGCCTCCCTCTGCACGCTTAAAACCTCTTTCCTGGGCGATTTTCCCTGGAAAAGCATACCACATATCGCTCTGTTGTGAACACTGGGTATTACTGATGTGGTGGGAGGCTTTGCTAATGCAAAAGAGCCAGGACAGCTATGAAGTTGTTTTGATTGCATTGATTTACAGGGGCAAGCTTGAGGGCAAGCTCTGGCAGAGGAGCAGGACACCAGGAGGTGCCCCACTGGCAGGCAGGCATGTGAAGAGTGATGATTTTAGCTCCAATTCATAGGTTGCCATGGTTAGTGCAATCTACTGCCCAGAACGACCGGCTCAAGGGCATGCAGGCACTTTGTGCTCCAGCCAGGATTTAAACAAGGGCTGCAGGTTGCTGAGCTCTGGCCCTGACTTCAGGTTCTCATTCCCTATCAGCACAGGGCTCTCTCCTGGCTTCATCCCTATCTTTCATCCTCTGAAGGTTTTTGCTTCGCCACAGATATTACTCACCTGCCCAGCCTTTGTTTTCCCTCCTATTGTTAACACACTCAAATATCCGCTTGATAAAGCATTTCTCCTCTGATTCCACCTCCTCCAACCGTTGCTCATTGCTCACCGCCTTCCCAAGGGTATCCAGTTGAACTGAGGTGCCTCCTGGGATTAACCATGGGAGATAGGTGAAGCATCATCTCCTTTGCAAGCCTGACTGTTCTGCTGTTATTTGTCCATTTATTTGCATTTTTGGCTCATTATTATTGTTTTGCTCTTGTTGTAAGTGCCAAAGCTCTATCAGGAAAGGTTTGATGCTTGTTTAAATAAACTAAAAGAGGTTTCTGTGATAATATTCAGGTGTCAATCGTTTTAACAGCCCATTCGGTGGCTGAGATAGACCAGGAGTGACCTCTGTGGTAACTTAGGTAGGCTGAGCCCAAGGCAGAGGCTCCAACCAGCTGGAGACAAAGACAGGGCTGAGTCCCAACCCTGCAGATACCAAGCCATGCCTACTCCTAGGCTGAGCTACCATGCACGTGACAAGAGCCATAGCAACAAGTCTGGGAGGAAGTTTGAAGATAAAGTGTGTTGACATAAAGTATTCTCCAAGTATCGAGACTGAAACAAGTTATAAACATTATAAAAGTCATTGATAGGAAAAAGACACTTGAAATACAAGAGATATGTCTTGTCCATGTATAAAATAAGAAGAAAACAAGCAGCTTTTCACAAACAGATATCAGTGACTTGTCCCTGACTGTGGCAGAGGGCTTGGAGTTACATTATCTTTAGGGTCATCTATAAATCATAGGGTCATAGACTCATAGAATGGTTTGGGTTGGAAGGGGCTTCAAAGCTCATCCAGTTCCAACCCCCTGCAATGAGCAGGAACATCTTCAACCAGATCAGGTTGCCCAGAACCACATCCAGCCTGGCCTGGGATGTCTCCAGGGATGGTTCATCCATCAGCTCTCTGGGCAACCTGTGCCAGTGTTTTACCACCCTCACTGTACAGAATTCCTTCCTCACATCCAGCCTGAATCTCCCTCTTTTAGTTTAAAACTATCTCCCCTTGTACTGTCACAACAGGTCCTGCTAAAAGGTCTCTTCCCATCTTTCTTACAGCTCCCTTTTAGGAACTGAAAGGCCACAATACATAAGCAATTATACAGACATCGGTCTCACTCTTTGGTAACGTACATTTGGGATTGATTTAGACGAAACTCTTCTGTTAGTTAAAAAGAAATATAAGAGGCTATTGGACACAGAGGTACCCTTTCCTCCAATGTTATTAAATAAGGATGTGCACTAGTAAGGAAATCCAGTTGCAAAGCTCTCAGGATACATTTTCTCATGTAGGGAAGGCATTCACATGGGGAGCTGCCTGCATCACAGCAGCAGCCAGCCAGGCTGCTAGTACTCTGATGCAAACCACTATGGTCTTTATTTTTCTCTGAAGAGGATGCTTGTGCTGAGGGAACAATTACAGGGTTAGCAGGTCTCTAGATAATGATCCTAAAGGAAGCTTTTAGCAGAATAGATTTCCCGTTATTGTAAGGCATCTATTCCATGGCTCTAATTGTTCTGGATAGATCTAGTGCTTTCCATTAGGCATCGCTCAGATTGCTTTGATAAACAAAGCATTTGCTCATGTTGACTGTAAAGTGAGAAGGAAACTCACGCCCTAATCCAATCTAAACTGTAGCCAGGAGGTGGATGCTGATTACAGTGTGAATATAGGCACCAGCACATCAGTGTAAGAAGACCAGTCGCCGGATTAGGCAATAGGCAGCTTGGTACCTGCAGGGCAGGAAAGGAGTGGTACCCTCTCCCAGTACCCCTGCGAGTCTCATGGCTGTTAATTTTCCTTTATCTCCCTCCCTTACCCATTAGAAATGTGCTCCTCAGTGTCTTCAGGCATTCTGCTTATTTCACCCACCTAGAGGAGAGATGGGAGAACAGCATCTGGGTTAGAATGTGAGCGCAGAGCAGCAGTCGCTGTGTGTGGAAGCAGGCTGTGATTGTAACGGATAGCCTTGCTTTGAAAAACCTCTGAGAACTGAAGGAAGGAAGAAAAGAAAAGCAGGAGAAGAGGAAGAGAAATAGGGAATTGAGGGAGAAGGGGGGAAAGGAGACAAGCAAAAGGCAAAGGAATGCTCCTGGGGAGCAGCATGGGTGTTAATGTGAAGAGATAATCCTCACCCCCCAGAGAATCAGGGTTCCTGTTCCTAGATTTTTCCTGTTAGAAATAAAAAGGCCCTGTTCTCTGTTCAGTTCCATTGTTAAGGCAAACAAGCAGGTGGTCTCAGTTCATTTCAGGTCTCATTGCAGTTTCCTCATCCAAAAGCCACTTACACCAGTGCCCTTTTTGTTACCAGAGTAGGCACAGATGCCAGGAGCTGCAAGATCAGAGAGCCTTCATCTTGCTACAGGCTCTCACTTGGTCCCCATCCCTGTAGTGCCTGAGCAGAGCGATAAACCCATCTGACAGAGGGGGAATGGAAGTGATGCTCGAGTTTGGCCAGGCAGCCAGTGTGAGAGCAGGGATTGAATCTCCTCAGCCCGAGTCCAACCTTCAGCCATCCCTTCTTGTGAGGTATACATGCACTGGAGCCTCTGTGCCCCCTCCTGAAGAAACTGGGGCTGCTCCTTCCCGTAGGACAACAAGGCACAAGGAAAAGGCTATTGATTGTGGCTTTTCTAATGGAGTTTTACTTAGGGGAGCGGTGGTGGTTTTGGGTAGCTGGATTATTACAAATATTATGAACTTCAGATTAAGACAACTGCCTTTGTTTTCCTTAAAAAGATAGTGCTCAAAACCAGTGTCAATGAGATCCTATGGACCTATTGGTTTGACTGCAAGCCAGGTTCAACTCTCTGCTGGTATAAATGGGGATAAACCCAACTGCTGTCTGTAAGGTCGCCGCAAACTCCTGCTCAGGTAGCAGAAAACAAAATCCACTCCTGTTTCTGCTTTGGAATAAAGCGAAAAGGAGCATGCTTCCGAAAACATGTCATTTCCCCTGAAATCTTATGGCCAGCTACTCCAGGTTTGAGCTAGACATGTCTGAAAACCATGTTTCTGTAAGAGACTTGGACTAACAAACCAGCAATAAGATTACATGCTTTTTCTGCAGGGAAATGTTGTCTTGCCTTGGTAGTGCTCCGAGCCAGGCAGAAACAACACAGCCAGGTTAAGGCAGCGTTAGATCTGCAATAGCTACAGCCCCTCATAGGACAGTGCTTCTGCATTGGACTCAGCTCCGTGCTGATTGCACCTCTCCATCTTCCACCTTAGAGCTGAGCCTCCGAGCATGGGCTAACTTCAGTTGTGTGAGGATGCAAAAGCCCATGGAGATACATTCCTGGGCAAAAGCACAGGAAAGAAAAGCAGAAGAAGCAGGGAAACCTACTGCACACCAGAGAATAAGATGTGTACAGCAGCCTGTGCCTTCTCCCTTTCAGGCTGTTACCAACACCAAAGCATGGCTCCACCAGGCCACTGAGTACAAACCAGGAGACTGATACCTTCTGCTAGCTTCACATGGACCAGGATACAGCCACAGAGCAAGACAGTAGAGACTTAGGGGTTCAGTTTTTCCCATAGGATTGTTCTGGTCTGAGACTGTTGTGGTTTAACCCCAGCTGGTAACAAAGTACCAGGCAGTCCTACATATATAAGTATAATACATATATATTAGTATAATATAATATGTACATGTATTAGTATAATATAATAATAATTGTGATAAAGTAATCAATATAGCAAGGTAAATAACAGAGAGAGAGAAACTGGCAGAACATGAGACACTGCAAAGTCCTTGATCAGGGTAAGCTCTACCAAGCAACGACTAAACCCTCGGTGTGTTTTCAGCTGTGTTCTCACACTGAAGCCCAAACCCAGCACTGCACCAGCTGCTAGGAGCAAAATTACCTCCATCCCAGCTGAAACCAGGATAGAGATACCACAAAACAAGCTGTACTGGAGCTTAACAAAGCCCCACTGACCAAGACCAGGCAGATCCAGCAAGCCATGAGTCAGGACTCCTCAAAAGACGAGGCCAGTTTGTGGCATGTCTCCCTGTTCTTGGGGGTAGCAGCTTCAGCTCTAAAACAGATGCTCAGTGTGGTTATTCTGCTGGTAATATATTGCAGGCATGAAGGGTGCTTGGCTAACATGAAGCAGGTCTTGGCCATGAGACATTTATAGTCCAAGACTTTGATGGTGCAAGGAAGAACTGGGTACGTTTCTGGTCTAAACAGATTTCACAGCAAGGTGGAAAAGAGCGAGGGAGGCTAACAGAGTCCAAGTGAGATACTTCAGCACTTGGGAGAGGACATTCTGGTTTTATCACTCTCCATTCAAATATTCCTCTTTTCCCCTGTTTAGCCCACCCCAAAAGATCATTTCAGCCCTTATGGCTGTGGATCTGCATCCCCTCCTCTCAAGCAGCAGCAGCAGCAGGCAGCAAGGCTTGGCTATACTTACCTCTCACGTAGCATCCCCTTGTGTGGCTGTGGATGCTGATGGTCAGAAAAGCAAGAGAAAGGAGGACTAGGAGCAGCTACCAGATTTTCTTCTTTCCTCTAGTTATGCTGTTTGGTGTCATGGCTGGCTTGAGGATTACAGCAAGAAAAGCAACAGATTTTGGGGAAGAAAATGTTATAGGAGGATTAGACTGCAAAGTCCATCCAAATGGGTTATGAGCCTTATACACATACAGACACAAGCACACACACATATATATGATATAAAGCTCCCAAGCAGTCAAAAATGAGTAATAAAAGACTACTGGAAATCAGCAGAAAGGCATTTCTGAGAGCAGAAAGGCAAATGTAGGATATGCTCAGTTATTAGCAATACACAGAGACTCTCTGCAGCCCATTTCTGTACCTGGAATGGGGATAAATGGAAACATTGACTATTCCCTTTGTCAGCCTCATTTCCCAAAGTGCCCCATATTTAAAAGACAAAGGACTTGACCCCAGTGTTGGCGTAATAGAATGAACCTTGTCTCCTAGCTGGCTTTGGAAATCCTCTCTTTAGTGAGGAACTGAAAGATGCAGAGAAAAGCTCTTTTTTTTCAAGGGAGTTTGGATGCACTTAATTTAAGTGCCTGTCCCTTTTCCCCATGTTTTTTGCTTTGGTTGTTCTATCACTTAACATACATCATAGCATTAAATGAACCCTGGCCAGGTAACTGTTGCTTATTTACAAAGAGGCACAGTTCTGGTCACCACCTGCAATGTCAAGCTTCCACATAGCTCTCCGTGCAAGCCGCTTGGGAAAAGCAGCCCTACAAGCTGTCTATGCAATGCTGAAAGCCACAACACCTGTACCATATTCCTCAGAGAGCCAAGGAGCCCCAGCAGTGTCTCAGTGGTGAAGGATGCCTACCTTATCCTTGGGTTTATCCTCACAGCTTGCAGGATTGGGCATGCCATTAGATCCAGGGGCAACCTATTGATGGCTGCAGCAGCCCTCCCTCACACAGTTGGGTAGCCAGCAAAACGCAAGGGACCATGACCTACAAGCCATCTTCCCTGGCTTAAGGTTGTGTTAGTGGAGCCAGCCTGCAGTGATGGCTCACTTTTGGGCTGCACAATAGCATTGTCTGGTTCCTAAATCCCAGCAGTTATTAAAGCTTCTCTACCTGGTGGTTGTTGCTAGGCAAGAGGTACCCTGCAAGCGCTCCATCACTGAGGTCAATTAAATGCTATCCTCAAGCAAGCTGCTTTGAACTGAAGCCTGGGTGAAAACAAAGAGACAAGATTCTCGTTGTCTTCATTAAAGAATGATTCGAGATGTTGATAGCGACGAGCCTGAGTCACAGCTTTTAATTTCCTCAAAGTAAAAAGGAGGTTTGGACAATGATTGTTAGGACTAAGCAAGGACATGTAATTCTTAAAGAAAATGCATCCAATGTAAGGTACATCACTTCGCATAGTAATGCAGAAAGGTCTGCCCACCCCCTCATCCTTTGCATCACTTTTCCATCTGATTTGGGTGTCGATGTTGAATGTCACCGCTGTTCCTGCCCATGTAAATGGGGGGTCCCTAGCTGTCGCAACAGAACGAGGCACATTTCTGTTCACATTTGGGATTTACTGCAAGAGGAGGAAGATAAGAGGGTTGCTAAGGCTTGAAAGAGACAGTGAAGCAGAGAAAGCAAGAAATGGAAGGAAAAGATCGTGGGTAGGCTTAAAGGTACAGATGTTTTCTCACTGATAATAAATGTGCCAAGGGCTGAATTCATTTGAAAAGGTCATCGGAGAAAAGTCAGATCAAGCACATTTTGATGATAGAAATCCAAAGCTTTGTGCATATTCTTTCATCCTGGGTTTCTGTTGGCTCAGCCAACCAGCTTCTGGGCAAGCAGCACTGTAAAGGAGCCTGGCCCCCTTCTGCATGCAGCTCTACACATCTCCATCAGGCAGATACACAGGGGGGAAGAGACTTGCAGTGGCCAAAAGCCATCAATAACCTGGGGAACTGCTTGCCCTAGGATTGGGGAAGCACACAGGGCTCAGCTAAACCACCTGCAAGTGGGGCTGTGGTAGAGATTTCCCTCATTTCAAAGCCCCTGCGTTTCCTTTAGCCAAGCAGACACAATTGTATTTTAAAAAATTAGCATTATTCCTTTTTTTCTTGAGAAATTCCAAATCCAGGATGCCAATGCAACAGGTTTTCCTGCCTCCTTCAATCCTAGGGGTACCTAAAATGATTGTTCTAGTCAATAGTATTTTGTGTCACTGAGACAGTTTGGAGCCACTGTTACGTATCTTATTCACGTTTCATATTGAATTTATTGAACAATTTGGGCAGAAACAGATATTTAGAAAATGTCAGATCATTTTACTTTGAGTTTTTTGGGTTTCATTCTGCTGCAGCGCTGTAAAGCTGAAGAAAACAGAGGAAAAACGTTGGTGGTGTCAATT